CTTTTAACCAGGTGAATGCCACTTTTTCTTTCTTTTTGAGCCCAATTTTGGAGAGAAAAGCAGGATAAAAATCTAATAAAGAAATAAATGTTCAAATGGAACTGTGAAATGATTAGTTGTTGAAAGTGATAAGGCAGGCAGAGTTCTTACTGATATAAGCATAAGAAGGTACCAACTGGATGGATCTATCAGGGATGAGAACCCATGGCCTTCCAGGTGTTTGTTGTTGGACTACAAGTCCCAACCACTCTAGTCAAGCTTTGGGCCTTTGCAGACTGCCAGAAATAGTGCACATTAAATTGAGGCACTGCCCTGGCTCAGTGCTAGGGAATCATGGGAACTGTAATTTATTGTGGCACCAGAGCTCTCTGACAGAGAAGGCTCAATGTCCCAGAAAAAAAAATACAATTCCCATGACTCCCTAGCACTGAGCCAGGGCAGTGCCTCAATTTAATGTGCACTATTTCTGGCAGTCTGTAAAGGCCCATTTACAGAGCCACAGGCTACCAAGTCCTGGTCTGTATTTCAGGTATACTTACTTGATAATCATTCCTCTTGATATTTGGAACATCCATGTTGTGAGTGGAAGGGCAAATATCTTCATATTTTTTGCCAGTGAACACATCAATACCAACTAAATGGACCTAGGAGAATATTCATATGTCAGATATTTAGAATACGAAGAAAACTAAGTAAAAACAATGTATTATCCCTGTCCTGTTACTTTCAGTTTGCTTTTGCTTTAAAATGGCTGGAAGTTTGGGAGCATGACCCTCTATTTTCCTCTCCATAGTACTCTGACCTAGCCAGGGTTATATGATCAACTGGACTGTTATCAGTTAGATCTAATGCAGGAGACTGCTCGAGCTTTGATGATAGTGCATGCTATTTTGTCATGCCAAAATGGTGCCTATGCATTCCTGTGTGCAAAGGAGGTGAAGATTCCTCTCCTCTTGAGAAACTCAGATGCATTAGTCATGTATGGAATCTGAGCCACCTTATCTATCTTCCCATCAGCCTCATCATTACTGGCCCTGGCCAAAGTCGCTGCTCTTTTTGGGTTCTTATTCTTTTACCACAATTTGGTAAATCCATTTATAGAAGTCGATGTGAATGGCCAAACCATCAAAAGCAGGTGAGGAAAGAAACAATGAAGAATTGCTCACCCTGGGAGTGCAACCGAGAGTATCTGGTGGTCCTCTGGACCAGGTGCTTTGCCTAGTGCAGCAACTATGCAGGGTCCACCCAAAAGAACAGCTAGTGCGGGAAGCCTCTCCTCATATCCAGGCAAATCTACTTCCTGTGGCCTCTTAGGGAGAAATATCCCCTCGCCTGACGCATCCTACACACATCAGAAGAGTAGTTCAGGCAAGCTAACAGCATTTTTTTTTAAAATGGAAGCCTAACCTGTAAATTTGGATTTGCTTGATCAGTCCAGAGTGGCAATCCAAATCAGAATGAAACGCTGTAGCACAATCAGATTCTCCAAACCATAATCCCCAAGATGAGGTCATACTATGCAGTGATCCCTAAATTGTCCCCTTAAGGGATTTTGGACTTCAGCTCCCAGAACCCCAGACTATTGGCCAACATGTCTGAGGCTTCCAGGAGCTGAAGTCCAAAATCCCTTAAAGGGCACAGTTTGACGATCACTGTACTACAGGGTGACATTCAGTTTTCCTCTTCCCTTAAGAAAGTGGCTTCTGTTTCTATGCCCTGTTTTGATTATGGTAATTGGTCCAAAACACACTGCAGAAATAATCCAGTTTGAGACAGCTTTAACTGCCCTGGATCAATGCTAGGGAATTCTGGGAACTGCAGTTTTGTGAGACATTTAGCCTTCTGTCAGAGTTCTGGTGCCACAATAAACTACTTTTCCCAGGATTCCCTCGCACTGAGCTAGGGCAGTTAAAACAGTGTCAAACTGGATTATTTCTGCAGTGTGTTTTAGACCTGAGAGGCCAGAACAGATAATCCTAATCAGAAAAGAGCAGCATAATCATCCAAACCATGATTTAAGAGAATTAAAATGCAGTTCCACAGCTTTTTAGTACAGCAATCATGCATCTGTTCCATTTGGAGCAGGTGATACACTGCATGTTTATGGATAAATTACATTTCCAATATTGAGATACTCACCTCTCATACAGGATATTATCCAGATCAGAAACAGTACAAGAAGACAGTCAACTAGGATTGAAATGCCAACAAGTGGCAAATTACATAAAACTCATACTGTACAAAATGCAAAATGAACATAAAAGTTCAGCATTTATAAGCTACAACTCAAATATGTTGAAGGAAGATATTACCTTTGCATGACCATGTTTGCCAGTTTTGGAAGTTGACATCTCCACAATCTTGCAGGGACGTCCCTTCAGCACCACAAAGCCATTCTTGCGAAGAGCAGAACACTGCATTGGGTAGGTGGCAGATGCACCAGCATCTCCAGTGGTGAAGTCAACTTCATCAGCCATAGTAGGAAATGTGTTCCAGCAAATACTGAAATTTCACAGTCACTTATCAGACATTCCATAAATTTTATCAAGCAGTTAATACAAATGTATCACCCAAACACAATCGCTACAGAGCTTTCAGCAAATAAGGATTAATATTCTTCTCACTGCAGTCACCTTACATCTTAAGTCACGAACACTCACTACTAAACAAAACGCCTTGCTTTGGACCACACTAAACTAGTTCATAAATATCTGTAGCACCACAGGGTTGTGAAATGTGATAGCTGAATCACATTAAGTTAATGTTCAGCATGAGTACATTCCCAAAAATATTAAACCAAGGTAATAGCAGACAAGGGCAATAGAAAATTATTCTCAAGTGACTCGATCCCTGTGTGATGCTCAAATGTGTCATGCTTCAGCCAATGTCTTTCAAACAGGGCAGGGAGAAACAGGAGGGAAAAACAGAAATGCCAAAAGGTTTATAAACTATAGTCGAAAACACACTGCAGAAATAATTTCAGTTGGAGACCCTTTTAACTGCCCTGGCTCAGTGCTAGAGAATCCTGGGAATTATAGCTGAGGCACCAAAGCTCTCTGACAGAGATGGCTAAATGTCTCACAAAACTAGTTTCCAGAATTCCCTAGCATTGACCCAAGGCAGTTAAACAAGTCTCAAACTGGATTAATTCTGCAGAGTGTTTTGGACCTAGGTTTCTCAAGCCTTGGCTTGCAAATCCAGTGGAAATACTGAAGATAAATTGCTACAGATGATCTCACTGGAGCCTGTTTCATCACTACCCAGAAGCTATGAGGGTGTGCCGTAAGTGAGCAGGTAGGTGAGGCTAGGACCAAATACAAAAGAACGTGAGAATATTGAATCTTTTAGAGATGTACACAAATGGCAAATATGGCTTCTCATGCCCTCCCCATACATGGCAAATGCCCTCTTCTATACATGTTAGAAGGTGTCTTCATTTGCATCTGATTTTCTTGGTATCAGCCTAAATACCCTAAAGGCACCAAATCATCTGGACTTGTAAACTAAGCAGGGTCAGCTCTGGTTAGTACTGGGATGGGAAAATGACAACAAATACTGTGCTGTAGACTATATGGAAATGCCAGGTGCTATAGGCTCTATCTCAGAGGAAGAAACGGGAAAAACAACCTTCTGAGTATTCCTTGCGTAAGAAAACTCTATGAAATGCACGGGATCACCATAAGTCAACAGATGACTTCAGAGCATGCACATATCAGAGTACCCAATGGCATTTGCCAGAAGGACGCAAGATAATACAAAAGACGGGCATGAGATCTAGTAGAGATAACTTAACTACGACCTTCATCTTCAAAGGAAATACATTCCTGCATTTCAGGTGCTGGGAGGTACGAATAGGGAGTGACTATTAAACAAATGGGTCCTAGAGCAGAGCAAGCCAGAAATAGACTGTCGTACTTTGGACACATGAGAAGGCATGAATCTCTGGAAAAGACAATAATGTTAGGAAAGGGGGAGGGAAGTAGAAAGAGAGGAAGGCCATATGCTAGATGGATGGACTTTATTAAAGAGACCACGAATAAGAGTTTGCAGGAGCTGGGCAGAGCAGTGGAGGGCAGGGGGGGCTGGAGATGTCTCATCCATAGGGTCGCCATGGGTCGAGATCAATGCAAAGCAGTTAACAACCACAAAAATTACCCTCATAAATTGTTTGTGAGCTTTTCAGAAGCACCCTTATTGAAAACCAGCATGGGCAACGACAGTCAGTTTTCAAACAAAAGGCGGGAAATGACATTTGAACAACCAGTCTCAAAGAAAAGGCTTAGGTTGTATATCCAGTATCCTGTGTAGCAGATTTTATGTAGGATCCTATGGATGGAAGGTTTCAGAGAAAGTGCCCCAGGGCCAATTTCAGGGGGATCCTGCCTCCTCAAGCTTACTCTTTAGAAGGGTCTCAGGTTCTCAAAATAACATTTTCAAGGGCTGTAGGGTCATGTAGGGAGGATAGGACTGAGAAGTCCTGCCCTGCCCCCATCTGCATCTGACTGAATCTGGACACATTCCTACAGCAATTTATATGTTTTGCTACAGCAATTGAATCTTTTCCAGATTAGGCACCTTTTGGTACAATATGATTGCCTTGGGAGAGTGAGACCGAAAGAACAGCATATGGGGTTGCTGTTGCTGTGCGCCTTCAAATCATTTTCAATTTATAGCGACCCTAATTTGTACCTATCATAGGGTTTTCTTGGCCAGATTTCTTCAGACACGGGTTGCCAATGTCATCCTCTGAGGCTGAGAGAGTGTGACTTGCCCAAGGTCACCCAGTGGGTTTCATGGCCAAGCAGAGATTTGAACCCTGGCTTCCCAGTGTCCTAGTCCAGCACTCAAATCACTAAACCATGCTGGCTCTCTAGCATTTTCACCTTTACCTTTTCTGCAAATGAAACCCAAGTTCATACACCTGACAGAATAAAACAGGTGAAGGTATATTCAGCCCACTTTTTGTTTGTTTGTAACAGCAGCTACAAACAGAATGGTCCTCTCTAGGTGGGGATTCGAACCCTGGTCTCCAGAATCATAGTCCAGCACTTAAACCACTATGCCATGCTGGCCCTTGCCCTGGCTTAGCACACAGGCTGCTAAGATAAATATAGTAGCCCCTTCATTTTTGCAGGGGATTTGCTCCAGACCCCCCCCCCCCGTGAAAACAGAAATCCACTAATGATCAAGCATCATTGTGGCGCATGTGCCATTTAATTTAATGGAGGTCACCCCTTCATGAATAATCAAGACCGCAGACTTCAAGTCCGCAAATGTGGAGAGACGACTGTAATGCAGAGTTCGAACAAACTGGTTCAGGTTGTGTATTAAAAAGCTATCCCAAAAATGGAGGCGTAAATGGTGGTGAAAAAGGCGAGATGGCCCATCACCCACATCTCCAAAGACCTGTGAAAAAAGGAGCAATTCCTGAAGATGGCTATGGTCCCAACACACTGCAGAAACAATCCAGCTTGAGACTGCTTTAACTGCCCTGGTTCAATGCTAGGGAATTCTGAGAATTGTAGTTTATTGTGGAATCAGAGCTTTCTGGCTGAGAAGGCTAAAAGGTTTCACAAAATTACAGTTCGCAGGATTCCCTAGCACTGAGCCAGGAGTTAAAGCGGCCTCAAATTGGATTATTTCTGCAGTTTGTTTTAGACCTATGTCACTCAAGAAACCCCTTTTTTCTATCTGACCTCCTCACACTGAAGGAAAAGGAGAGAGAAACATTGGAAAGTATCTGCTCAGAGACATGATACAACAACTCTGCTGGTTATGGGCTCTCCAGTTCAGTGGAGAGGCAGTGTGGTGTAGTGGTTTGGGCGCTGGGCTCTGGAGAACTGGGTTCGAATCCCAGTTTAGTCACAGAAACCCACTGGGTGACCTTGGGGAAGTCACACTTTCTCAGCCTCAGAGGATGGCAGTGCCCCCCCCCCAAAAAAACCCACTGAAGAAACTTGCCATGAAAACCCCATGACACAATCGCCATGAGTCAGAAAAGACTTGAAGGCAAACACCACACACTCATAATCTGGTTTGACGCCACTTTAACCGCCCTGGCTCCATGCTATGGAATTCTGGGAACTGTAGTTTGTTGTGCACCAGAGCAGTTTGGGGGTTTGAAAAAAGGCACCACAGAATGGTTCAGGAACTCTTTTCCACCTGGCTTTTCTCCACATGAGACTGCCCTTTCTGGTCCAAAACACACTGCAGAAATAATCCAGTTCGAGACCGCTTTAACTGCCCTGGCTCAGTGCTAGGGAATCATGGGAATTGTATTTTTTTCTGAGACATTGAGCCTTCTGTCAGAGAGCTCTGGTGCCACAATAAACTACAGTTCCCATGATTTCCTAGTACTGAGTCAGGGCAGTTAAAGTGGACTCAATTTGCACTATTTCTGGCAGTCTGCCAAGGCCCTTAGTTCCCAGAATTCGACAGCATGGAGCCAGGGCGGTCAAAGTGCCGTCAAAACGGTTTATTCCTGCAGTGTGGACGCAACCTCAGTTACTTAAAAATGGCGGGGGGGGGGCGGTTATGAAGGAATTAAGACTCTCCACACGTTTCGCCCCGAGTTCTAGAAGGGAGGGGGGAAGGAGAGTTAAAAATTAAAGTTTTTAGTTTGTAGCTCTCACAACGGGGCCGGTTTCATAGCGTGTTATGCTTTTAATGGTACTGTTCTTTGAAACTGTAAGGCGCTCTGAGTCTCAGTATTGAGGAGAAAAGCGTGATACAAATATAACAACAATAATAATAATAATAATCATAGTATCGCGGCGGCGGGGCCCGAAGACCGAGCCAACCATCCAGCCACGGAGCGAGGGCTTCGGGGGGCCCTTCAGGGAAAGGCTCCTTATTCCCGCCTCTGGGCCTGAGGTAACTCCACGGCAACCGTTTCCCCGCGCGCGCGTCCCCTCAACCGCTCCCCCTCCCTCCAACGGTCCCAACGGTCGAATGGAACGAAGAAGGCGCCGCACGCGCCGGCGTCAGGGAAACCTCGCTTACCTCGCACGACACGCGGGGAGGGGGAAAGAAGGAGGAGGAGAAGCGTCGCGGCAACGCGCACGCGCAGAACCACCACGGAAGGCAGGAAGGAAGGCTGGCGCGGCAGAGAGAGGGGCGTGAGCGTGGCGAAGAGAGAGCGCAAGCGCAGTACCCGTGCGTTCCAAAGAGGACTTCGCTCCCTCCTCCTCCGCCCCTCCCCGCCCCCTCCCTTCTGGTACTGTCGCCACCCATTGGCTGCTCGCCTTGGCCGCTCCGCCTACTTGTAGAGGGACTCTGAAGGTGTGCTTTCACTCCTGCCACGTGACTGCTCCTTCTTCCTAGAGCGTTCCGACTTCCTGATGTCGTCATTGGTGTGCGCCGAGTCAGACGGACTTTCTCCTCCTTTCCCAATCATCCTCCACGTGTTACAAAGTCTGGCTCCTTTGCAATACTGGCCATCGCATTTTTTTAAATCCCAACTTTTAGAAAAATTATGTTTGAATTGATTATATGTGTGTATGTGTTTATATATATATATATGTTTTTATATGTATTTTATATGTATTATATTTTATATGTATTTAAAGTCATTTATTTTAAACCAGATTGGTTTAAACAGGGTTGGCTTGGTTAAACCAATCTGGTTTAAAATAAATGACTTTAAAAACACTCCTAGTTTTTAAAATTGGGTGTATATATAGTTATAATACAGTTATATATAACTATATATTTGAGTTTATATTTGTTGTATATTTTAATATATGTTATACATTCAATTATATTGGACTATATAAGTTTGAGTGGAGCAAGCTTGTTTTCTGCTGCTCCAGAGAACAGGACCTGGAACAGTGGATTCAAACTAAAGGAAAAGAGATTCCTCCTCAACATTAGGGGAACCTCCTGACAGTGAGAGCCATTCAACCATAGAATATGATGCCTTGGAGTGTGGTGGGGTCTTTGGAGGTTTTTAAACAGGCCGGATGGCCTTTGATTGGGATTTCCTGCATGGCAGGGGGGGTTGGACTGAATGGCCCTTAAGGTCTCTTCCAACTCTGATTCTGATTCTCTCTCTCTCTCCTTGCCTATAGGGAAAAATAGGAATATTTTGTGGCCTCTGCAACCTGGACAAGGAATGCTTGCCCATAAGGAAACATTGAGAAATACTTGCCAATAGGAAAACATACAATACTTGCCAATAGGGAAACATGAGAATTCTTTCCTGTAGGATTTTATTGTTCAGAGGGAAATGAAGCTCCCCATTGAAAAATCACATCCCCCCCATATGGAATCATAGGATATTTACTTCCCATAGAGAAAATAGAGCTCCCCACAGAAAAATGATACTTTTCCCTAGAGAAACGTAGGCTATTTATTTCCCATTGGGAAATACAACTCTTTATAGAGAAGCCATACTTGCTGATAGGATTTTATTGTTCATACAGAAAATACAATTTCCCATAGAAAAATTATACCTGCTTATAGGGAAGCATAGGATACTTACTGCCCACTGGGAAAATACAGCTCCCCATAAAAAATCATGCCTGTCAATAGGGAGGCAAAGGATATTTTTGTTCATAGGGAAAATATCTCCATACAGGAAAAATCATATCTGCCTATAGGAAAGCATAGGGCAGGGGTAGGCAACCTTTTTGAGCCGGGTTGCTGTCCCTCAGACAATTGGGGGGCCAAAGCACAAAAAAAATTAAAAAATAAATAAATAAAATGTTTATTTTAAAAAAAACAATAAAAATATGCATGTCCACTCTCTCAGCCCCAGAAAAGCCATGGCAAAACCCCCTGTGGAGATTTTGCCAAAAAAACCTCCAAGAACAAGTAATAACAACAATAATCAATATCATTATGGCAGGCGGCGGCAGGACCGGCCTGGGGCCAGTCCAAAGGCCTCGGGGGGCCGCATCCGGCCCCCGGGCCTTAGGTTGCCTACCCCTGGCATAGGGTATTTATCGTCTATTAGGGAAAGACTGCTCCTCATAGAGAAACCATACTTGCCTATAGAAAAACATTGGGGATTACTTGCCCACAGGGATACATAGGAGAATACTTGACCATAGGAAAAATTGACAAAAACTTGCTCATAGGATTTTATTGTTCATAGAGAAAATGCAGTTTTCCATTGAAAAATTATCCCTGCCCATAGGGAAGCATAACATATGTACTGCCCAAAGGGAAAATACGGCTACCCATAGAAAAATCATACTTACCCACAGGAAAGGATCAGATTGTATTGCATAGGGTAAATGCAGTTCCCCATAAGAAATACCCTACCTGCCCATAGGTAAGCACAGGATATTTTTTGTTCATAGGGAAAATGCATCTCCCTATAGGAAAATGGTACCTTCCCATGAGGAAACATAGGAGTGTCCTTACCCATACATAACTTTATTAGCCCCCAAAAGAAACATAGGAGGGACCTTACCAATGGAAATAAAGAGCAGAACATGTGCCGATAATAAAACTGTTTGTGCTCATTGGAAAGCTTAGGAGGATCCTTGCCTATAGGGAAAAACAGGAATATTTTGTGGCCTCTGCAACCTTCACAAGGAAACATTGTCATGGAAAACTGTTTGCCTTTTGGGATTAGTAATACCACTTTAATCAGTTGTTTTAGACATGTCCTGAAAACTTTGTGTAATTCTTCCTGGATGATTAGTCTCATATATTGTTTCTCTTAAATTTTAATTCAATGTTTCTCCCTATTTATTTATTTTTCCATTCAAGGTTTATTTTGCTGAGCTTTTAATGATTCTAAATACTTTGCACTACATTTCTACTTTATTTAATTATGAAGTTGGATATAAGTTGCAAAAAAAGAAAAGAAAAGAAAAGGAGGGATATCATTGACAAGTCGCATGGGTACTATTCGATGACAATGATTGTCAAATTGTGGGTATGAATTCCCCTGTGGTCCCACCCCACTCTCAGGTGGGTCCCAGTTCTTCCTCTTCCCCAGTACTTCTTCTTTTGACCACCCCATTCAATGACAGGGCTCCAGGTTTCTCATAAGACTGATGCACCACCAGTTCCCTACATGCATAGAGCACAGAAACGTGTGGGAGTCAGAGTTGGCTAG